TAACTGGAGCCTGTCCTGGAACTAGCTCTTGTAGATCAGACTGGCCTTGAACTCACAGAGATCCACCTGCTTCTGCCTCCTGAGTGCTGGGATTAAAGGCATGTGCCACCACCACTTGGCTTGTATTTTATTTTATATTATTTATATTTTATTTACATTTGTATGTATGTATTTTAGGAAGACTCCAGCAGTATTTTTCCATATGACTTTTCGAAAGGTACTTAGTGTTTTCCCTCCTTGGCAGGGGAGAAGAGGGCTGCTAAATCAGAAAGAAGCCTTGTGCCAGGCATGAGCTACCTGCTTATGAATTGTTGAGCAGTGAGTTCCCATAGAAGCCTAAACACTACAAGCTATTGCTCTTGCTCTGGGCTACACTCCAGAACTTGACATTAAAACCCTGTTGCTGAAGATACTACATATTTGAGTTGGAACATGAAGAGATCAAGCTGATCCTCACCTGGAAACTTCATACCTATACTAGCTTTATATGATGCTGGGCACGTACTGTGCACACTACTAGAGAAGAAAAGTTAGCATCAATTTTACCTAGCTCTGAATCCTGAGAGCTACAATATCAACATATCAGCATGAATGTCATGGGAGTAGCCAGCTGCTTTCTGATTGGTCCCACTCCGCAAGTTAAAATACATGACTGGCACTATCACAGTTTGACAGGTCATATGCTCTAGAGAAGAACCTACTACTATTACTCTGCTCAAAGGGCTTATGTCATAAATGACTGTTATTCGTGCCAAGCAACTGACATCTTGGGAGTTCACCTGTACCCTTTGCAAAAGACTATTTTGGAAGGGCTTGATGAGTTATATGCCACTCCTCCCTGTTATTTGACAACTATATCTGTGCCCTGGGAGAGGCCAAGGAAGACTAGATTGGGGGTTCTATGCAGCCATGAGGAGGCCCTGTGACCAACTGAGGAGGACTGCCTGCACCTGTTAGTAAAAGTTTGGGGGAATTGCACCCACTTTGTCACTGGGACCTTAGAAGGGCTAGGTGCTTACATCTCCCTATGGGAAGGAATTTTAGCTTCAGTGCAGTATTAAAAGAATCCTAATGATTTATCATTATACCTATAGATTAGGACAACATCATCCCTTACCAGAGAAACTTCTTTTTGCAGTAGATGGCAGTTAACTTGGAACTCAGAACTGGCCAAGCTGCAGTTAGTAAAAGAGACTTTGGAATACTCATCCTTAAAGCTCAGGAATCGTAGAAGAGAAAGAAAGCGAGAAAGAGCCAGAGGCAGTGGATGAGTACAAAGAAATCGTGTTTTTCCAACACAGCTGAACAGTTCCACATGGAAACTCATTGGGTTGGGAGAGCATGCACAAGACCTGTACAAGCTCAAGCCAGACAAAATTCTAGCATTGAGAGGGGAGGAACATATCCTACCCCCAGCTCAGGAGCTAGTCACTGCTAGCTGCTGGGAGAGTCAGTTTTCCTTAAGTGTGTGATTCTGGTAGGTTAACCATGCTCCAGCGGAAGGCCATATACCCTACAGTACATGGGCACACAAGGATGGGTGCATCAGGGAGGGGGGTGGATATGAATTGTATGAAATTCTCAAAAGAACTAATAAGGAATGAGAAAAAATTATAATATTATCTGTAAGCAGAGACTGCTCTTTCATTCCCGGCTTCCCAGATCTGAATAATCACAGAGAACCTATTAATTACAACACTGCTTCCATCACCGTCATGCCCAGGAGAGCCCACTCCTCAACAACGTCAAGCTACAGAGGAAACTTCCTGTAGAGTCAATCCAGATTGACCAGAGGAGCTAAGAAAGAAAGGGAACCTCGAGTGGTTGGATATGAATAAATCTAGCGCCGGGCGATGGTGGCACACGCCTTTAATCCCAGCACTCGGGAGGCAGAGGCAGGCGGATCTCTGTGAGTTCGAGACCAGCCTGATCTACAGAGCTAGTTCCAGGACAGGCTCCAAAACCACAGAGAAACCCTGTCTCGAAAAACCAAAACCAAAAAAAAAAAAAAAAAAAAAAGAATAAGTCTAGCTTCCCGATCATGTGGCGGAGGCCAGAAGAATGGGGAAAATTCATTTATCAATGGGTTTCCAGGAGCGGCCAGAACTGTGTTTACCCTGTATGAACTGACCAGTGGGGACGAAGAGGACGAAGAGTTCCATGGCCTGGATGAGGCGACCCTATTTCATGCTCTGCAGGCCCTACAGCAGGAGCACAAGGCTGAGATTATCACTGTCAGTGATGGCTGAGGAGTCAAGTTCTTCTAGCAGAGACCTGTCTCCCTCCACTTCTTACCTCCCACCTTTCCAGGGCTTTCAAAAGGAGACAGACCAAGTGTCCCACAGACTGGATCACTCACTCCACCAGACTCAAAGGGCTCAAGTCCTGAAAGCTGGGACTTAGGGATATTTCCCACATAATCCATTCTGCCTACTCCTGGGACAGGGTGAGCCCACAGTGCCAGGGAGAAAGGATGTTTCTTGCCCTACCTCCCCTTTCCCATCCTAGACTGTCTCTGGGCCAGGGTGTATAAACCTGACACTTTACGTATGTGCAGCCTTCCAGGCAATACGAAGATAGGAAGCCCCAGAATGGGCCTGGCAGTGAAAGGCGGGCCCACTCTGATTTAAGATATTAAAATCTCTACCCCCCCCCAAAAAAAGATGGTCCCACACCCAGGAGTATACAGGCAACACAAACTTAGTGGGTTATCTCCCCCCCTCTTTCTCTCTGTCTGTCTCTCTCTCTCTCTCACACACACAGACACACACATACATCCATCCACCCATCTTTTTTTTTTTTTTTTTTTTTTTTGAGACAGGGTTTATTTATATAAACCCTGGTTCCTGGCTTCCCTGGGACTAGTTCTTGTATATCAGGCTGGCCTCAAACTCACAGAGATTCACCTGCCTCTGTAGTGCTGATCCCATCATTCCCTGGGACACAGGCCCTGCCCACCTCAATCAGCTTCACACACAGGGAGGCACAGTAGGCGTGGTCACGCTGGAGCCATTTGTGGCCATTTACAGGTGACATCATTGAGCCAGTCAATCATCCTGTGTTCCCGCCCCCTGTCAATCAACTCCATGTCCCGCCCCCTGTTGATCATCTCTATGTCCCGCCCCGTCAATCATACCTGTTCCCGCCCCCTGTCAATCATCCTGTGTTCCTGCCCCCTGTCAATCATCCTCGTATTCCAGCCCCCTGTCAATCAACTATGTCCCGCCCCCTGGCAATCATCTCTACGTCCCGCCCCTGTCAATCATCCTCGTATTCCCGCCCCCTCTCAATCATCTCTGTTTCCCTGTTCTTGGATTAAAGACATGTGCCACCACCAGCTGACATGGCTTATTTTTTAGAGGAGAGTGGAGATGAGGATGAATCTGGGAAGCATTTGGGGGAAGGGAGTTAATATTATCAAAATATATTTCATATTCTATGAAATCTCCAAGTAATAAAAATACTATATTAAAAACATAAATCAACTGTATGTGACATGTGCATAAGCATTTTCAAAGGCTAGGGATCCATAGTCTTCCTAGACTCACAAGGTGATCTGTGATCTTAAAAATGGGGAATAAATATCAACTATTTTAAATAGTACGAGACTATTTAAAACCACCAATAGTGACAATCTACCTAGTCACCAGAAATTTGGGCCAGTAGTGATTGACTATTATAGGCCAATCTCTTCTCCTGTGATTTACCCCATAATAGAAATGGGCAAGAAACAAAGAAACCTTTGCATTTCTTTAGTAGTTGCCTTGGTTTATTTATTTTGAATTAATGGTAAGTATGAGCATGTTGTTAGATGAGGGTTGTCCACGATGGAAGGACAAACTGGGGACTGGTTAAGTTCACCAAACATTAAAGGCCAGGAATGGGTTCGTAAGTGAGAACTGCCGTACTTAGTGCCGCGCCTCTGTACGCCTATGCCTGAACTGAATCCTTTCCCTCCTCGCGCAGGGGCTCAACTATAATTCCAGGCTGAGGCTGAGGCTCAGGCTCAGGCTCAGACTCAGGCTCTGTCTCTGGCTCCAGCTCCGGTTCCAACTGAATCTCCATCTTGGGCACTGGAATAGGCTCTGGTTCAGGGTCAGGCTGTGTGGTGGTTTCAAGCTGGGGGTCAGGCTCGTAATCTGGCCCTGAGATGGCAGTAGGAGGTTCAGTGGACTGGGCGCCATGAATGGAAGATGGATGAGTTGCTTCTAGCTGGATCTCTTCAGATGGAATGACTTCATTGTCTTGGGAATGGCTTGCCTTTGTCATTGGCCTGTAAGGAAAAAAAAAAAATCCCCAGAAAAACCTTAGGGAACTTTGAACTTGAAAAACTATAGCCTTAGTGACAAATAGGTCCTAGACCAGTGGCTTTCAACCTTCCTGATACTGTGACCCTGTAATACAGTTCCTTGTGTTGTGGTTACACCCTGCCCCCCAACCATGAAATTATTTTCGTTGCTACTTCATAACTATAATTTTGCTACTGCCATGAATCATAATGTAAATATCGGACATGCAACCCTCAAAGGGGTCGCTACCCACTAGTTTAGGCCATCTGTTTGTCCTGATGTTTTGACTTGCTGTCAGACCACATGTGTCCATTTTGGAGTTCAGAAAGATTAAATTTCAACAATATGAAAGTCCAAGAAAGACACACCAGCATTTAAAATGTGGACAACTGAGAGAGTCTGAAAGTGGTTGAGGGTCAAATCCATGGTTCAGTTGCATCTGTGTCTACAACTTGTTAGTTTAAGACTTAGATATGATAGTATACATAAGCGACCCCAAAAACTCTACCAAAGAACTCCTACAGCTGATAAACACCTTTAGTAGCGTGGCTGGATACAAGATCAACTCCAAAAAATCAGTTGCCTTCCTATACACTAAGGATAAGGAAACAGAGAGGGAAATCACAGAAGCATCACCTTTCACGATAGCCACAAAGAGCATAAAATATCTTGGGGTAACCCTGACCAAGGAAGTAAAAGATCTATTTGACAAGAACTTTAAGTCTTTGAAGAAAGAAATAGAAGAGGACACCAGAAAATGGAAGGATCTCCCTTGCTCTTAGATTGGGAGGATCAACATAGTAAAAATGGCAATTCTACCAAAAGCAATCTATAGATTCAATGCAATCCCCATCAAAATCCCATCAAAATTCTTCACAGATCTGGAGAAGACAATAATCAACTTTATATGGAAAAACAAAAAACCCAGGATAGACAAAACAATCTTATACAATAAAGGAACGTCTGGAGGCATTACCATCCCTGACGTCAAACTCTATTACAGAGCTACAGTATTGAAAACAGCTTGGTATTGGCATAAAAACAGAGAAGTCGACCAATGGAATCGAATAGAAGACCCTGACTTTAACCCACAAACCTATGAACACCTGATTTTCGATAAAGGAGCTAAAAGTATACAATGGAAAAAAGAGAGCATCTTCAACAAATTGTGCTGGCAAAACTGGATGTCAATCTGTAGAAGAATGAAAATAGACCCATATCTATCACCATGCACAAAACTCAAGTCCAAGTGGATTAAAGACCTCAATATCAGTCCAAACACACTGAACCTGATTGAAGAGAAAGTGGGAAGTAGTCTACAACACGTGGGCACAGGAGACCACTTCCTACGTATAACCTCAGCAGCACAGACAGTAAGGGCCTCATTGAATAAATGGGACCTCCTGAGACTGAGAAGCTTCTGTAAAGCAAAGGACACTGTTGCTAAGACAGAAAGGCAACCCACTGACTGGGAGAAGATCTTCACCAACCCCGCAACTGACAAAGGTCTGATCTCCAAAATATATAAAGAATTCAAGAAACTAGACCGTAAAAGGCTAATCAACCCAATTATAAAATGTGGCACTGAGTTGAACAGAGATCTCTCAACAGAAGAAGTTCAAATGGCCAAAAGACACTTAAGGCCATGCTCAACTTCCTTAGCGATCAGGGAAATGCAAATCAAGACAACTTTAAGATACCATCTTACACCTGTCAGAATGGCTAAAATCAAAAACACCAATGATAGCCTTTGCTGGAGAGGTTGTGGAGAAAGGGGTACACTCATCCATTGCTGGTGGGAATGCAAACTTGTGCAACCACTCTGGAAAGCAGTGTGGAGGTTTCTCAGCAATACCACTCTTGGGAATATACCCAAGAGAGGCCTTATCACACAACAAAATATATGCTCTACTATGTTATTGCAGCATTGTTTGTAATAGCCAGAACCTGGAAACAACCTAGATGCCCTTCAATTGAAGAATGGATGAAGAAAGTATGGAATATATACATATTAGAGTACTACTCAGCAGTAAAAAACAAGGACTTCTTGAAGTTTGCAGGCAAATGGATGGAAATAGAAAACACTATCCTGAGTGAGGTAAGGCAGACCCAAAAAGAGGAACATGGGATGTACTCACTCATATTTGGTTTCTAGCCATAAATAAAGGACATTGAGCATATAATTCGGGTTCTTAGAGAAGCTAAATAAGAAGGAGAACCCAAAGAAAATCATATAGGCTTCCTCCTGAATATTAACCTTCATCAGGCGATGAAAGGAGACAGAGACAGAGACCCACAATGGAGCACCGGACTGAAATCTCAAGGTCCAAATCAGGAGCAGAAGGAGAGCGAGCACAAGCAAGGAACTCAGGACCGCGAGGGGTGCACCCATACACTGAGACAAGTTCTATCGTGAACTCACCAAGGCCAGCTGGCCTGGGTCTGAAAAAGCCTGGGTTAAAACCGGTCTCGCTGAACATAGTGGACAATGAGGACTAATGAGACCTCAAGAACAATGGCAATGGGTTTTTGATCCTACTGTACCTATTGGTTTCGTGGGAGCCTAGGCAGTTTCGTGGATGCTCACCTTACTAGACCTGGATGGAGGTGGGTGGTCCTTGGAGTTCCCACAGGGCAGGGAACCCTGATTGCTCTTTGGGCTGACGAGGGAGGGGGACTTGATTGGGGGAGGAGGAGGGAAAGGAGAGGCGGCGGTGGGGAAGAGACAGAAATCTTTAATAAATAAATTAAAAAAAAAGACTTAGGCTTCCTAATTGGTATACAAAACATACTTGTGGAATCAATTAGGTTAAATTAATTAAATCAATTAAGTTAAATCAACGAAAGTAAATCCAGGGAAAGACACACCAATTGCTTATCCAATAGCAAATGGCCAGTCATGAAAACATGCACACAGGTAACTTTATCCAAACTGAGCAGGTTGTCTTTAGTATATATACATATACCTGTATACACACAATGACAATGAAAAAAGGCAATGAATTTGAAAGAGAGCAGGGGGGAGTATATGGGAGGATTTGCAGGGAAGGAAGGGAAGGAGAAAATGCTGTAATTATAGTCTCAAAAATATAAAAAAATTTAAAAAGAAGAGGGAAAGGTGAGCAGGTGGATAAACGTTGCAGTGTAGCTAAAAGCACAGGCCTTGGGCCAACCAAATTCTGATTTTCCTGGACCCTATGCACTTTTGCCTTCGGAGGTCTCCTGTTACATTAAAATAGCCACAATTATGTTTATGGCTGTGTTGGTGTAAAGATAAATATGTTACGATATCTTAAAATGGTTTTTCTCTGACCTAAAAGGACTTTTGTGATGATTAAATTAGTTGATATAAGGGCTTACTCAAGTTCCGTGCTCAGGTTTAAGTTCCTCTTCCTTTGCTTTGACTTAACTTTGTTCCGTGCAAAGTACACCACACAGATGATGGCAGCAGCGCCTATCAGGGCGCCGATCAAGGCCCCAATGATGATACCGACTTCTGGATCTGAAGGACACAGACAGGCAGTTGGTAAAACCAAACACATTTTCGTCTTATATATATATATGTATTTGAGACTGATGAAAAATGATCTGGAAGGCTCACAATGCAAGAAAGTGACAGATACAGGTGGACGGAACAGAAATTCCCAGAATTCTGCGAGTTGAGGTCCTTGACTGTGCAGCTTAACATTGACATGCGCACCAGTGAAGAAAACTGTGGCCACTTGGCAGGCAAGCTTGTTTTTAAATCCATATTTAGGGAATAGAGTTTTCAGCGTGCCTTTATGTGGTCAGAGACATTGTCATGGCAATCTGGTAACCAGAAACATGCTCTGTTGGAGACAAGGACATTTCATCAGCTTTCCTAAGGCCTAAGTGAAATAAAATAAAAAAGCTTCCCCATACACTCCCTGCTCATGAACTCTATGAGCAAAAGGACATGGCCATTTGGATAAACAGGCATCTGGTTTATTACATCAGTCTATGGAAAAATTGAATGAGTGCGAGACATTCCAGCTGAGCACCAGGCCTCCAAGCCCAGACATGTCGTCCCTGACAGAACATGTCTGGGTCATAAGCCAGCCCATACCCATCTATTTCCCCTTAAACAAGGATCAACTGTTTATATTTTGAAATGAAAAACTAGGTTTGCATAATAAGTTCCTCATCTTCTTATGATGGAAGAAATCCATGTAGCTGGGCACAAAAGGCCGAGGCAGAAAAATCCTGAGTTTCCAGAGAGCCTGGGCCATATACATGGCAAGACCTTGTCTCACAAAACCCTCAATGGGACAGCACAGCTATATCAGCAAGACTGGGGGAGCCCTGCAGAAGAGGGGATGGAAAGAGTGTAAGCCGGAGGATGGGCAGCAGAAAGACATCTGGGTGTGATGCAGCTGCTGTACTCACGAAATCACAAAGGCTGTGGCTGTCTGCACAGGACGGAGCCCTTGAACATTTCATCGTGAGTGAGTGAAGGACCCCCTCTGTGGTGGACTACCGGCAATCAACAGATGTTGGAGGAGGGAATGCCATTTTCTTCAGTGGTATATCCACTGATAAACTGGCCTCGCTCCAGTAAATATTCTCTCACCAATGCTTTAGGCAAAAAACTCTAATTAAATTTAGTAGGCTACGAAAAAGAAGACATGAAAGGTGGAGGGGACTTGTTGAGAAAATGGGAGCTAGTGTGAGAGGCAAGTGAGGGGGGATGGGGACTGAAAATGACTAAAAGTCATTATATAAATGTATGAAACAATCAGATTGGTGAGTAACCCAACTATCATCATGGAGCCATCATCCAGCAGCTGACAGAACCAGATGCAGAGAGCCACAACGAAGTCCCAGGACAAGCTCCAGGAATCCAGTCAAAGAGAGAGAAGAGGGTATATATGAGCAAGGGAAGTCAAGATCCTGAGGGGGAAATCTACAGAGGCAGCGGAGGCAAGCTCGTGGAAACTCATGAACTCTAGACCGACAGCTGTGGAACCTCCATGAGACTAAACTAGGCCCTCCGTATGTGGGAGACAGTGGTGAAGCTTGGACTATCTGAGGGGCACCTGGCAGTAGGTCCAGGATCTATCCCTGGTGTATGAGCCAGCTTATTGGAGTCCTTCCCTATGGTGGGATGCCATGCTCAACCCTAATGCAGGAGGGAGAGGCTTGGTCCTGCCCCAACTTAATGTGCCAGACTTTGTTGACTAACCATGGGAGCCCTTAACTGTGGGGAGGAATGGATGGAGGGTCAGCTGGGGAGGGGGAGGTAGGGGCGGGAAGAGGGGTAGGGGGAAGAACTATAGATAGAATGTAAAATAAAATTTAAAAAATAAACAAATTACAATTTAAAAAAATTAAACTAAACAAAACTAATATCTTAATTGTTAAAGTAAATAACTTTAACAATTAAACAGTTCTAAACTTTTAACAAAGCAGTGTTCTCTTGACCCACCCCAGCCACTGGTGGGATGATCCAAAACTGCTCTTGCCTCCAGACTTCTATTATACTTGCTCTTAGATGGCCTCCCTTTTCCCAATGTTCATTATTCCCTCCTGAATTTCAAAGCACTCCTCATCTCCCACCACAATCTCCTAATACAATTATAATACTATTTTAATAAAACGTTACGTTTATAAAAATTAAATATTGTTCACACCAGAAACATCCATCCTCTGATTCTGTGTTGTTCAGCATTTTAAAATGCTTTCCCTAAGGTCACTAACTGCCTCATTCGGGGGCTTTGCTTAGTGTTTTAATACATTCTCACTAGTTTTGACATCGGGAGGAAATAATCATTTATTATGGTTCCGTCTCCCAGTGATCTTTTCTGTGGCTCTTCCTCGTGTTCCTTCGCCATTAATCTTTCTACAGCTGCTGCTCTGCCTTTGTTCTCCACCCAGCCTACCAATTTTACAGAAACAATAGCCTTTGGTGGTACCTTCAAATACCAGCTCAAACAGTACTTGGTCAGCGCAGCTGCTCCAGAGCTGTAACCATAAGTGTCTATCCCTGTATGGACCTATACGGTAGCGTTTAGCAATACAGTCTTTGCTCAGCCCTCTAGCTGAATGGAGAGCTCCTTGAGTGAAAGCCCTTTCTTCTTAATGTCGGTCTCTGCATCACCTATGATGGTCCATAGTAGATAGCCAATAGGTGATGTAGGAAGAAGATAAGGACAGGAGGGCAAAGAAAGGAAAGGAAGCAAGAAGGGAGAGGAGAGGGAAGAAGGAAAGCCAGGAGAGTGCTGGAGATCACTGGAAAGAAGACTCGGGTACTAGTCTTACACGACTGGACATCCGCCATGTGTGTCTGTCTCTAGAAGGGTGGGCAACAATTGAGTGAGGAGTAAAGGAAGACAACAGAGAACCATGCCTGTACAGACAGGTCTCAGGAGAAAGGCCAGAGGAAAGAGCTGAAAGTAATGAGAGTGGGGGGCAGATGGCAAGGCTCTAAGTGCTCAATCGAGCCCTAAGAGGTTCGGGAGACATCCCTCGTGAGGACTTGTCCCAGGATTGACCTAGTCTATCAGTTTCAAGGCTCTTTAACTATGAATCTCAGAGAGCAAGTAAGTGCCTTTCAACTGGAAGACTGAGGTGTTGCTCGTGTAGCAAGTATAGTATGGGAAACAATTTAATACAAATAATAACAATCGTACTCATCAGGTATTGTGATTGTAGATAGGGCTGTCTGGTTACTATAGGCAGATTTTTGCCTTTAAACTTTTGGGTTTTATTTCTTATTGGAATGTAGATATTGCATTATAGGTATAAATATGTTTTCCTGGATGTATACATGTTACTTAGATCATGTCCACATCCCTGTTACTGTCTCTCGTTCCACTTCCACTCCCCTCCCACTGGTCCCCCTTTGTCTTCCCTAACAGCCCCCCTCTACTTCCATGTCTTCTTAAAAATCTAGATCCTGCCTACGAAAGAAAACATGATATTTCTCTTTCTGCATCTGGCTTACGTCACTCACTATGGTAATTTTCATTTCCTGCAAACCATATAATGCTAGTGAACTGGAGTGTCCATCAGGCGATGACAATCTGTGAGTCTATAACATGGGTGTTGTGGCATGGAAATAAACAAGCTTACCCAGCTTTCTCTGTGGCGGCATGCTGACTTGAATTCTTTTGGTTATAGACCCAAAAGTGGTACAGCTGGTAATTCTATTTTTAGATTTTTGAGGAAGCTTCAGACTGACTTCCATTGTGGTTGCTTTAATTCACATCCCCACCATCAGCATGTAAGGGTTCCTTTTCCTGCATATCCTCGTCCACGTTTGTTGTCTGAGCTCTTGATGATAGTCATAAGACTGGGGGGAAATGGAAGCTCACCATAACTCTGATAGCATTTCCATGATGGTGAAAAACACAGAATTTTTTTTCATCTATTTGTTGTCTATCTGTAATTCTTCTGAGACCTGTCTTACAAAACATCTGCTTATTTATTGACCGGATTATTCGTGTTTAATTATTTTGCTCCTCATCTATTCCAAGTGTCAACCCTCTGTTGGCTAAATGGCGGTAGAGGATTTCCTTCCGTTCTCTAGGCTGCCTCTTCATTCAGTCTCTTGTTTCCTTTGCTGTGCAAAAGCTTTTAAATTTCACGCAAGAACAAGCTTATTTATCAGTTCTCGCTATTATTTTTCTGATCTACCAAAAACCTGCTCAGAAAGTCCTGCCTGTGCCTTATCTTGGAGGGTTTCCCTGTATTCTAGAGGCCAGTCTTAATAAGGCAGTCAAGAAGCAGGAAGTCTGTGAGGCATATATTTGAAAAGGATAGCTAAGGGACTAGCTGGAATTATCAACTGCAAAAGAAAGAGCATCCCAGACTGCTAATGACACTGCTGTTTTTTATTTGTCCAAGAGTAATACCTACTTTCTAATGATTGCAGGATCCTTAAATAAACTACCCGGTGAAGAATTTAGGGAACTGATTGCTTTTTGGGCTGACAAGGGAGGGGACTTGATTGGGGGAGGGGGAGGGAAAGGGGAGGCGGTGGTGGGGAAGAGACAGAAATCTTTAATAAATAAATAAATTAATTAAAAAAAAGAAAAAAAAGAATTTAGGGAACATATTACTATGTAGAAATGAGAGACCTGGATGGCCATTCATTATCAACTTACCAATAAAGCACAGACACCTCCAGAGAGGCAAGGAGGACTAAGGAGAGAACCTAATTAATCTGTTCAATGGGCAGGCCCAGACTACTTAACTGAAGGATAAAGTATGAAAGCCATAGAGCCAACTCACGCGAAGAGGTTAAGTCAATTTCACAGGAACTATTGCCGAGACTGTTGACGGCAGTGCACTGATAATAGCCTTGCTTAAAATTTGTCAGATTTCCGATAACCAAAACTCCAGTGGCCGAGTCTGTCAAAACAAGAACACGGAATTTTTAAGATCTCTTGTCATGTTAGTGTACGCTGTTTAATGCCCGCCCACAGCGGCCTCTCTTGAGATGAATAGGCTCCACCTAGGTCTCTGGCAATGCTCTACAAGCAGCCCAGCGAAGGCCCTCCGCATTCACCACCTCTCAGCCGAATTCTAGACTCCGAGAAACAGACACACCACAATCCTCATATTAGCAGGCAGGTATCATGTTAAGCACACGTCTGCTCCAGACACATGCACACACTGACATCAAGGGAAGAAACAGTTGAGGACCTCAGGCAAGCATCGGGGAGCACATCCAGCGGAAGTTAGGAAAGGCGATACTCACCGAAGCTTTCTTTTACTGGCACGATGGTGTTCCCCTCAATCTTATACCAGTAATACGCAGGGGATGGTGTTCCAACAGCAGAAAGGCAAGACAAGGAGATTGGGTGGCCTGCTTCTGGTCTTCCTTGGATGGTACAAAAGGGCTTGGAAGGTTTGACTGTAAGGCAAAGACAAAAAGTGAGCTTCCTGTAAGAAACTGACAGTTTTGTGACATTGGCAGCCACTTTCTCACTTTCACTGTACAGATTATACGGGCATTTGCTTATTTAGTCTATTCTTAGAAACCTTGCTCTGGACAGTTTTCTGCTTGTACCACCAGATGGGAGCAGAGCACTTCAGCTACGCTACGGCGACCATCTAGTCAGGAGGCCATTAAGATTCAAATAGTGTCTCTTCTGTCTGCCTTGTCCCCTGATTTATAACCATACACTTCCTCATTGGATTCTAAAATATGCCTTTATTAAAACAGGCAAATGTAACTGAACTCTGAGTAGAAACATAGCTTGTGCTTTAAAAGCCATCTTAAATGAAAACAGAGCCCTTAAATACTTGGAGATTAAACCTTTCTAGAAATTCCTTTTAAAATAGTCCACTAATACTTCCTTTTTTTTCTGTTCCTTTGTGAGGCTAAGGCAGTTTTTCATTTATTCATCTATAGGTGACCCAAACTCTCTGGAAGGCTTGAATTTGCCCGAGTCCTCCTCAGCAGAGGAGCCCACTTGGCATTGGTGCTATATGATGTTACAGTCTCGATTTTTTTTCTGCAACTTGGCAAGCATTTAGCTAGGTGCCGTCTCTCTATCCAGTACTGGACTAGGCACTGCCGAAGTGGAGCTAACGGTGGAGAGAGATGAACTAACAGAACACTGGGGCTCGCGGTGGGGGGGGGGGGGCGCTGTATTACACATGTTTTGCACGGGGAACAGGGAGACCACAGAAGGAGTTTGAGAAAGGTAGTAATGATGCTCTTTCTAGTACTTCCCATACAGCTCTCTCTGATACTGAGGGTCCCTGGACCAAGGGAAAGGTGATTCAAGAGGTATTAAGAAAATAGTCACAGGAGCTAGTGACCAGCTAGCTACCGAGGAAAGTAAGGATCTATGCTGATTCCCAGGCTTCGGATTCTGTATCCATGATCCTGCCACCATCCAAGAGAAAGAATTCAGGTAGAAGAACAAGCTTTAGAGGATGGGATGAGGAGGAAGGAGAGATGCTGGGGGCAGTTTGGGACATGCCGTTTTTCAGCTGTTTATGACAACACCTGGACAGAGACCTGGATCAAGGAGACGCTCTCTGGGTAACTGTGAATCACAATCTCACTTTATGCCACGTAGTCTGTCCCTAATAGCACACACGGGTGATGACTGTAAGCTTTGGATGTACTTTCCAATGAATAGCCATCCTTTGGTTTTCTGTTCCTCTGGTTAGTTGGTTGGTTAGTTGCTGGGTTTGCACTTGAATCTGGCCTCTACCTTCCAAGTACTAGAATTACAGGCATATGATACTGTACCCAGCTCTTCTTCCTTATCTTAATCCATCCCTCTAGCATCTAATTTATGAAATTTATAACTTAAATGCTTCAGACTACTCATTGATTGTCCTGGGACATGTGATCACAGATCTGGATCCACACAGAACCTGAGCTATGCAACTTTACCTTATAGGTATTTGGACAAGTTATGTAACTGAACTGAGCCTCGAGTTGTCTCATCTATAAAATATGAATAAGAAATGATCTAACCTCTGGCCAGGCAAAAGTAAATATCATAAAACAAAGCATTGCACATGGAATTGCTGTTGGCTATGGACTGGACTAATTTTTGATACTGAAATCAATCTTCTACCAGCTTCTGCTCTGATAAGCCATCTCAGACTCAAACCCTTGTATGCATGAGGAAGACAGGTATAAGCACAACTCTTTAAAATGCTCCACTATCCTTTGAAAACTGGTGTCTTTTGAGTTAGAGGATTTTTCTATTTAGATTTCAATATTCTCCCTATCAACCTTAAACTAGGCCATTTAACTATTCCATTCAACTAAGATTAGGCTTAATGTCTTTACAAAATGGTCTGACTGCTATAGCCCCTGTATAAGAACAGAACAATCTGAACAGAAAAAATGTGGGCATTTCACCATTAAAAGTCAGGCACCAGGACTAAATTATACATAGCAAACTAGAATAACTAGCACTCATTCACTGAGGCTAGATTCAAATCTAGATTAGGCTTCTTGTTCTTTTTCTCCTTCTATTTCTCCTTTTTTATTATTAACAAAACACTAGCTGACTCATTTTGAGACAAGCTGCAAATCTATATATCTTCTAAAACTACTGAATCTGAATTGAGCTTGACATTTCATCCAGCTAAAGTACCCCCAAAGAGCTACTATGTTTTACTGGCAAAGCCATTGATCTATCCTTTGGCTTTATTGCTTTCATCAGGATTTGGGTGGAAGGAAAAGGCTCATCCCAGAAGACAGATGAAAATGCTTCAGTGTGTTCACAAAGCAACTCTAAATTAATAATTTTTATGCGCCAAACTGCAGAATGGAGATGGTGCTCATTCCAAATGTACACATAATAATTATTCAGAGTCGATGTGGGTGTTTTTCAGAGATTGATTTTAGGGGGTTGTCATGACTAATGGAGGTCTCTTAAATGAATGGCCATCCAAACCACCTGCTTCTCGGCTCCCGGCTGCTTTCTTCACCTGAACTGCATGTACCCTGCCACTTCAGCCTCTGCTCTACCTGACACGTTCTTAGGCATCCTCCCTCGGCCAACACAAGTCTTTTTCCCTGATAAGCCTTCTCTAGTTCCCCTTCTGTAGCTTTCTCTGTGCCTTCACAGCTCTCCTCCCACTGAAAGTGTTCGTGCAATCTGTCTCTTTCACCAGATTGGGTTTTTGGAGGGCTGGGACCCTATTTTTTACATCTTACTATTTCCATTGCTTAGAACAGTAACTGAGGCATGTTCCCGAGCTCTGATGCAGGAGTGCATGAATGTAAAGCAAATACACGGGATTGATTGATAGCCATACTCAGTGAGAAATGTCTCAAGGATACATGGCTATACTATACCCACGTTCTTAGCTGTTTACCTATAAACATATATACATCATGGGTAGAGTATAACATTTTGCGTAATATACACATTGATGTAGCATAGCATTTAGAAAGGAGACCAAGAAAGGGTACTATTAGGTGATGAGAAGAGATGGAATGCAGGCAAAAGGACACAGGAATCATAAAAGAGAATATACAGCTAATTGGTTTTCTAGTTTCAACTGACTCATAGATTTTCCTTTTTATAATGCGTAACTGACATTGAAAGGGGAAAGGCCTAAGAGCAAAGCTCCATGACTTCAGCATGGCCATTCTAACTTTTCGTAAGATCATTGGGTTGCATTGAGCTTGGGCCTGGGTAAGTGTTTGAGTGGTTACCATAATCTACCTGTGGGGCATTTTTATTTGTGAGTTCATTACAATAAACAGATTCTTTTAATGTAGTGCTATGAAGAACCATCCTCGGCGGTGTATCAGTTAACTCTCCGTACAACTGCCCCCTCCGACCCACCCATCTCTACTTGTCCCAGGCCCAATCAGGGTGTTCATGTGCAATGGGACTTGAGAATTGTGAACAGACTTTGAAAATTTAGAGATAATTTACTACCACTCATTTCTGGAAAGTTGAAACTCATAGGAAAACCTTGTTCTTTTCTGAATTAATGAAAATGGAATTTTTGAGTATGTCTGTGGAAGGAAATCCCATAGATTGTTTAGTATCTTTATTTTATGGTTTCTGACTGCTTCAAGAAAAATCATGACAAACTCATGGCAAGACTTATCTGACCCAAAGACTCAAAGGGAAGAAAAAAAAACTAGCTTAAGATATCTTTGACTTGTGGAAATTCACTGGGAATCCTCTGAACTTCAAATTTAAGAATATTAACCTTCTTGTCTAGCTTATCTCAGGGCTATTTCCAAGGCTTTTCTTGAAAATTGCTTCTGCTCAGATCACCCCAGAGACACAGAGGCAACAGAAAATCATTAGACGATTAATCCCTCAAATTACTTGAACATTAAAAGGCTCTTTAATCCCCAGCACCTAATTGGATTCTCATAATAAATCAGTAAAGAAGACAGACTTAAAATCTATCTTACAGTGGCCAGAGAGTAGTGGACTGCATTGTATGAGGTCACCAGGAACAGAAAAAGGTCTAGAACCTAAGTTTACTGATTTTCCGTCTCGTGGTTCTTGGCATTCTTACCACAGTTTTCCCCCATATGACTGATCTTATGAACTGTCACACAAATTGTCCTAGCAATGGGTTCATCTATTCCTACGCTCCAATGCCAAGCACAAGGCTCAGCACAATAAAATACAACTGATTTGAGAAAACCCTCTCTTAAACATTAGCTCCAATGTAACATTTCCCTCTTACTTAGGAGGGTAAATACGATGGCAGACCTCACAGTAAGCATCAATTGGTGACTTTTAAAATCACATAGGTAGCAAGACAACTGTGGATGTGTATTTGTTGCTTCTTTAAACCAACTATCTAGTAGCTGACTTGGTCTACTGCTTCCTTTCCAATGATTCATATACTCAAGCGGACGGGAGCAATGACTAGGCCAGCTCCATTCGGGCTGCTGGTAAGGGCTTCAAGCCCGTTCCCCTCCCTTTAATACCTTCTACTTTAGAGTCTGTAAATAGGTACTCAAGCCCTGCTGTGTTCTCTGGAGTTTGAAGGATCCCTAGAAAGCAAACAAACTGTGTATTCCTTATGGGCAGAAGCCATGTCTCCATCACCACGAAGCCTTTATTTCCTTTTACAAAGTAGGGACACCATAAATCCTGAATAAATAAGCTCTTCCAAGTCTAGTTTGAAAGTAAATGTGACTTGTCCAGTATCATATAATAAATACGTGTTTATCATAACTTAATTCTCAATAATGCCTTAACAAGTAACATTTTCAAAATATCATTAGCATTTTTAAAAAGTGAGCCCCCCCCCTCCACGGATAAAAAATCAAATTAAATAGTTACATACCAAGCTCAAGGCTAGCTAGAGCTAGCTATGGTTTCATGAGACTCTGCCTCAAAACAAAACAAAATATAATAAAAAATAAATATAAACGAAGTGGATGTTTCTGCCTTTGAAAGAATCACTTCTTGGTAAGAACAGTGGTTGGCTTGAAAAAGGGAATAAGTAGGTTGACAATTGTTTCTTGTAATTAAGTGTGGCTTTAATTACAAGTTCCTCCTGGAAGAGCTCATTGGTGATCATTTGGTGGGACAAAGTTTGTCTCACTGTATCCTTTCAAGCTAGGGATCCTATTGTTTCTGTACATTTTATGATAATTTTTAGGTATCACTATACAGATTAAGTTGGAAAACTCTCTACTGATAAGATAAATCTTAAATTAATAAAATGGTCTCTGGCAGTCAAGGGAGCAGGGAGAATATTTAGCCTCAGGGACATAACTGACACCATAACCCAGTGCTTTGACGAATTCACTGTCTTTAGTTGCTTCAAGAAAACAAAACACATGAAAAGAATGCCCATACCTAAAACACTGACAGCAAGAATGCCTTGGTTTTTGCCGACAAAATCTGGAGGGTTGTTGACATCACAGATGTAAACTCCACTGTCTGCTGGTTGCATCTGCAATATGGTGATCGATGCGTTCTCTGGATTAGTTGACCCTATAATTCGATCCTTGAATTGCCCAATAGCCGAAGCTTGTCCGCCTTCATAGTAGTAAATCTAGTGTAGAAAAATAGTAAAACTAAGAACCTGAGAGTATCCAGTGATATGGGAGAGTCTTCTGTTTTGTGTTGATTTCATTGGTTAAATAAAAAAACTGCCTTGGCCCTTTAATAGGACAGAAAATTAGGTAGGCGGAATAAACAGAACGGGATGCTGGGAAGAAGGCAATGAGGTCAGTCGCCATAGCTCTCCTCTCCGAGATGGAAGCAGGCTAGAATCCTTCCCAGTAAGGCACGACCTTGTGATGCTACACACATGAATAGAAATGGGTTAAGCAAGATGTGAGAGTTAGCCAGTAAGAGGCTAGAGTTTATGGGCCAGACAGTATTTAAAAGGATACAATTTGTGTGTTATTATTTCCGGGGCTAAGCTAGACTTGTGGGATCCGGGCAGGAACATAGCCTGCCACTCCTTACTATAATCCAGAATGAGGAGAAATTTCCAGAAAGTCTCTTCTATCTGTGGTCCCTGTAGCCAAGATTTCTCAGTTTGGTGGGGCATTTAACTTTTTGACTGCATATGTCATTACCTCATTTGCCTCTAGCTCTGTGATGTCACTAGATCAGAGACTAGGAAGCTTATTTTACAGAAAAAGAGACAATTGGAGTTCAGAGGATTTAACTTCTAACCTTTGGCTAGGAAAACAAGCATTCACCTGCTTAGTCTACCTGGAAGAAACTCACCGGTACATAAGATAGATCTCAAGAGGTATTTCTACTTTATGAACTTCTGATTTGAGTTTATCTTGCCCACTGAGACTGTTCTCCCTAAAAGCTCAAATGTTCATGTTTCTTTCACGCATACATATCTCTCAGATTGTGCACTTGGATACATTCTGTTTGTTAGAAGTAAAATACTTCAGGGCAGACTATTCTGTGAGAAATCAAGTGTTCTCATTCTCTCATAGTAGCCATGGTAGGATAAAACCAGGTAAACCAGCAAAAGGCCTACAGTGTGCTTGGTCCATGTTACCTGCCATCTTTCTCTCCATGTCAAATAGCAGAGCTAAGAACTTCGGGTGACACATCTGAAGGCCCAGGATTCACTTGTTGCTGCTGTTGTTATCTTTACAATGTACTGAACCTGAGCCAAGCAGGGACATAAACCTGCAGTCTCAGTCTCTTGGGGACCACCTAAGCTAAATAGCAAGACTGTCTTTACAAACACTCTCATGAATGCTCAAGCAAGACCAAATCCTCCATGGAGGGGAAAGATGGGCATGAAGTCCACTCCTACCTAAGGAGCAACTGGCAACCGATAGCTGCTGAGAGAGAAAGAGCCAGTTTTAAGAGTGTTGTCCCTGATAAGTCAACCACCCTCCAATGGAAGGCCACCCATGCAAGAATATATAGGCAGTGCAGATTGGATTTGATGGGTAGCAAAAGAGAGGACACAAAATCGGGTGGGTAGGGAAGCGGGTGGATCTGGGAAAAGTGTACAGGGGGCAAATATGCTCAAAACACATTGTATAAAGAAAAGCTACAAGGAGTTAGTGACTGCAGAAAGAGGGAGAATCAGTATTTCCCAGGGATGAGCCTCCTAATTGGTTATTCAGTACCAAGTGGCCAGCTCTAAAAATATATACATATGGACAACGCTATATGGACCCAACAGGTTGTATTTATATATTTACTCTTATATATGTAATAATAATAATTAAAGAAAAGCACATGAATTTGAGAGGGACCACAGGGGAAGGGAAGATAAGGGAGAGGAAGACAGGAAAGAGAGCAAAGAAATAATTTAATACAGTACACATATACAAAATTTAAAAATAATAAAGATACTAGTATTTAGCAACATTATTAAAAATAAATTTTACAATAAAATAATTGATTAAAGAAAGATCTGAATTCTACTTACATTTACATTAAATTGCATGGCTCTTAGGTATTAATGGCAACCATGGGATAAGAGTGATGTTGAGAGAAGTCTGAACTAAGTGTCACAAGATCTAGGCTTTCCCCACGGCTCTGCCTCTGATGTGATGTAGTCACATGAGGTATTCCCTAATTATGTCTCCATAGCAACTTGCTGAGTGATAAGAGGCAAAGATAGCTAATCTCTCTAACCTTTTAGTTTTCATATATGCACAAGGAGCTAGAACCAAGTAGGACAGTGATTTTCAGTGAAGTCCACATGAAAACCTACTAATTTTAATATACACAAGAGAAGCACATGGATCATAGCAAATATGTAATTTCATACACATTGTTGCTTAGGTGACACTAAGGTCTTTGGGTTTAAAAAGTCTCAGTCAATATAGAAAGGATTAACTGAAAAACAGTTCTGGGGATACACGAGTATGACAGAAATTATGAGGCTGGGGCATGAGTGGCTGCACCTTGGGAATCACTAGATGAGGTAATACAATCAGTTCCCTTCCCAATACACACATTCTATGTACACAGTTTGCGAAATTAATATAAATGTGTGTCATTCCACAATTGGTGCTTATGTCCCGTAAATTGGGATTGCTGTAGTCTAATGAGACAAGTTATTTTCATAAAATCTTCTAGATGGCTCTTCCAGTTAATTTACTTCATTAGCCTGACTTTAAACAAGAAACTGAAGCCAGGAGAGGATTTCAAAAATGTTAAAAGTAAGTTGAGGGATGGGTGTGACGTTGAATGGCAGAGCGCTTGCCTAGCATGGATGTCTTATTTTCCACCCTCGGTGGGGAACAAAAGGGTGAAACACAAAAGCAAAATAAGTTTAAGCAGAAGTAGAACTAGTTTCCCTAATTCCTTGCCCAGGGCTCTTTACCCAATCTATTAAAAAAGAGAAAACAGTCAGAAAAACCAAAAGATGTTATCTAGTGCACTTCAAACCTCTTCCCCTTTACGCAGAAAGGCAATGTTAAAGCAAGACCAACAAGCAGAATTTTGAGGGGAAATTTAAAAAAATGAGCATAATTAAAGTGAAAGGAACTTATTCTCTCCTTTGTCTCCTCTAACATTCTTTCCTGCCCCAAATACAGTATCCTATACTTCGCTTATTCATGCCTCCGGAACTGAAACCCTGACGACATGCGTTTGACCGAGAACCCAGAAAGCTACGATTAACTCAAGGTATTCAAATGAGACAGGGATAGATTTAACTTATCAAAGGACTGTGCTACGCCAGCAGGAAACACTAAAATATATTTACTTCTTAATGAACAGCGTGAGGTCCTGTGGTCACTTACCTGGAACACATCAAGACAGTCCTTTCTAACCTAAGCCTCTGCTCAGTCCCTCTGCTCCCAAGAGGAGGCAGGCCAGCCCTGCTTTGTGACATCTGATGATGTCACAGTGAGATACAGCATCAGTCCTGCCACAGGAAGTCCTAGAGGAGCTAGGTGAAGGGACCTTGATTATGTAGAAATGAAGGTTACAGAATACTTTTAAGGCAAGGACTAGGACATGGAGGGGTGCAACAACAGAGACCAGGCAGGGTGGCACAGGCCTAGATCTCAGATGTGTGCCTTACCTATGAAAGCCCCCCATCCCCCTTCTATCCTGCTTCTTACACTGTAGTCTAATCAATATTTCCCTCACAGATGATAGATACTACAGGGATACGACAGGAGACCTAAAAAGTAAAGGCCTTGAGTTTAGGCTGCTGTCTGGGAAAGGAAGTTCCAAGCATTAGATAGCCAGATATACAGAAGGGGCATTCTGCTTGAGCAAGTCTGCCCTGCTAACTCTGTCCTTGGGAAGAAAACAAGAAAGGAATGTTTTCTCCAAACTGCTTATCTAATCACTCTGGAAGGGCTACAAGTTGGTTTCATTTTCCACAAAGAGTAATACTTAAAAGATCAAAGCTAAGTAAGAAAAAAAAAGTTAAAGCTGAACAACAGCCAAGGCACGGCCCATACCACTAGGTGGCTGACATCCTTTGCGAAGAAAAAGTATTATCAGTTTGGAGATCAGAGCTACTGAGGCCAAGGAAAAGCCTCCTGTGTTCAACAGGCCGCATCCTTGCAAGGATGAGAGGAGCCCGGCTTTAAGAAAATCCATCCCCATGTTTCCTAAAGTAGTACTTGTTCAAAATTCTATCCATTGCTGCCTGTGCCCATGTTCATGACAGAGTCCCGCTTTATGTCAATGTCTCTTCTTCCTGCCCTCTTTGCCACGCTGGTGGCTGGTGGGTAGAGTCACAGAAGCCTGGTAGAGTCTAGATCCTCTTTGAGATCACTCAGTTCATGTCACTAAGGTTCAGGAGCCTTCAGGAGCCTGGTGGATATTGGGCATATGAGACAAAGGTAGCACAGGGTCTAGAAGTAGGAGTAGGCCAGAGGGGACCATGGTATATGGAGGAGCTGGCATACCCTATAGAAACAAAATGCTGGCCTAGCCAATCACAATATATCTGCTGGCCAAACCAGGCCCCGAGCCTCCAGTTTGCAAATTCGAATTCATTCTCATCTATTGCGAGGACACTGAGGCCCTGATAGAGGAAATGATTCTTCCCAAGGTCAGAGAGCCAATTCCTAGTCAAACCTGGAACCCAAGTCTCTCGGCTCCTACTGTGAGCATTAAGTAGCACTCTCAGTCCTGCCAGAGACAAGGCTGATGATTTACCTTCCCCTTGGGGCTGTTCCACTGCCTGCGGCCATCTCCCTCTCCTCCCTCCTGCCCGTTGGTGCCGTTTCCTGGTCTGGTGCTTCGAATACTGAACAGTTTGGCCACACCATACACTCCACATTCTCCAGCTGTGCCGCAGGCTGCTCTGTATCTTTACACGGCCGCCTTCCTCGGCCCATCATGCCAAGTTCCTAGTCACACAAGGCTGCACAGCTGGCAACCAGTTGTTTCCTCCAGTTCGCACTCCCACTCCCAAACAAGAAGCTTGGGGTATGAGCAGGAAGGCTTGAAAGGACCCCCATCTGCTTTCCATTGGAGTCAGAGTGGGCTTTACTAACTGCCATTAGCTTCCAGAGCTGCTTTCCAGGTTCCTTTGGGAGATATGGAAGCCTGGGCGTCCATAGCTAAACCACACATTCTTTCCTTTTCCTCCCTTCCAGCTCCCTGCTTTCCGGCCTTGCTCCTAAAGCAGCTAGGCAAGGGTGGGAAAGCAGCAGAGGGTTCAGGCCCAGAATGCTGTCTGGCCTGCACTGCTAAGGCTAGGATTGTACAGACTAGAAACAGGATACTGCAGGAAAGGCTCTCTTGTCCCATTTCACCAGCTCGTTATTGCTTGAGCCATGCACCGTTTGAGGGACTGCTTTGCATAATTTTTGGTTGAACTAATGGGTGATCCCTGACTAGGGGCACTTCTTCAACAGAAATGAAGTAAACTCCAGAGCAGATAAACACCAGTGAGAAGAGATGGAAGCCTTGTAGTGGTCTTCCCTGACAGCCACAGTAGCATTTGGGACGATTTGCTGCATGGCTTTGCTGCATGTGTTGCAGAACATTTAGTAGCTCTAACTAAGCCAGCACCCACCAAATGTCACTAGGGGCTAGAGATTCTAAAACAATAAAATCAATACCCTCTCCATTATTAAATTTCCCTGAAGTGATGGAATACGCGCGTGCGCGTACACACACACACACACCAAGATTACAGAACCATTTGAAATGATGTAACCTACAGGAAAAAATGGTTTCAAAATGTAAGAAGCCAGAAAATATGAAGACAATAGATTTAGGGGAAGGACTTGTCTAAATTGTGTAGACATGCTGTGGATATGAGAGTGGTGAAGAATTTCTTCTATTGCGAGGACTGTAGGGGAGCACTGTCTAATGGACCCACGCTAAACAGGGTCAGTGTGCCTTTTATTCATGTCAGTGTTGTCTCTAGCTCTAGCATAACAAGCTAGCCTGGAAAGGGAAGAATCTATGGCCGAGGGGCACCAGATCTCCCCAAACTTCCTTGTTAGCCTGCTTGTGCCAGGTGAGTTTCCAGAAAAAGGTATCGCCCGAGGGATGCTGCCAAGCTCTCCGTATTTCTGAACACAGGACATTTCTGAAGGGAGGACCAAATGGATAGTTTCTGTCCTCAGGATCGGAGAACGTGTGGCAAGAGCAGTTTCCATGCGCCAAAGGGACCTCCCTAGCGAGGACATTCAATGAAACACAGAATCTGGCCCTGGGTACTGAGAAACTCTAGGCCCTGGAGTCAATTGCTATTTAATGCAATGACTTTGAGGAGGAGGAGACAGACGTGTGGCAAAAGCTGGCCACCAGCCTGATCAGAGCAGCTCTAGGGCCTGAACCTTTTTAAATTTTGTTTTTGTTTTTCGAGACAGGGTTTCTCTGTGTAACTTTGGAGCCTGTCCTGGCACTTGCTCTGTAGATCAGGCTGGCCTCAAACTCACAGAGATCCACCTGCCTCTACCTCCCAAGTGCTGGTATTAAAGGCGTGCACCACCATCACCCTGAATCTTTTGGAAGAGGATTAAGAAGTTCTCTTTAGAGGGATACCTAGCTCAGCCTGGATATAGTGGGGAGGGCCTTGGGCCTGCCTCAAGCCATGTGCTAGACTTTGTTAACTCCCCATGGGAAGGAAGCCTTACCCTCTCTGAGGAGTGGATGAGGGTGGGGGGAGGTGGAGGGAGTGAGAGGAGGGGAAGTAATGAGAACTGGGATTGGTATGTAAAATGAGAAAAGATTGTTTTAAAATAAATAAATTAGTTAATTAATTAAAAAATAATAGCGTTCCAGGCATGGGCATGAGAAGGTAAACTCAAAACTTCTCTAGGTTTTATTCTATTTTTTAAAAGTTATTTTTATGTATGTGTGTGTATCTATATGGGGTTATCTGCATGGGTGGGAAGGTGCCCAAGGAGGCTGGAAGAAATTGTTGGATCTCCTGGAGTTAGAGTTCCCGGCAATTGTGAACCATCTAACATGGCTGCTGGGAATCACATTCAGGTCTTCTGTAATATCAGCAAGCTCTCTTAACTGCGGAGCCATCTCTCAAGGCCACACTTTTCTAGTTTTTATGATATACACCTTAATTCCAGTACTTAGGAGGCTGAGGCAGGAGGATTCCAAGTTCAAGGCCAGCCTGTATTCTATAGCAAGGTCCTGTATCAAAAACCAAACCACAACGAAATAAACTTCCCCAGATGTATATAGGACTTGCACTGATCTGTATTGTTATCAAATGTAAACCCTCCCACCCCACTCCTAAGGCAGGTGCTAGTGTCCTAGACTGCAATTAGTGGAGGGTCTAGTAGTACATCAATGGGTTTTCTTACCTGAGAGGTCCAGCTACATCTTCCCCGTGCGTCTCTTGCATGCGCCATATTTAGACACTGACTGCCTGCCTTTTCCTCCATACCCTCAGTATTGGGGTGCGAGCCATGCTGTGTTTGAGCAGAAACGGGTGGATCTGAGAGCCGAATGCTACATGCTATATTGCTATATCAACTCAGGAGTTGCATTAAATCACTCAGTGGTCAGTCTAGCAATACCTTACTCTCATAGGTCACAGAATGTTATATAAACAGCAGTCTCTATGACAGATACGTGTGGGGGGATGGTGACTTCAGGGAGCATTTCATGTATCACTGACTGGCCTTTAACTTGCTAGGAAGCCATTAGCAACCTTGAATTTCTGATCCTCCTTCTTCCACCTCCTGAGTCCTAGAATTACAGGCATGTGTGACCATGCCTGCTTTATGTGGTGCTGGGGACTGAACACAGGGCTTCATGCATACTAGGAAATCATACTACCAACTGAGTTACCGCTACAGCCTAGTGGTTTCTTTTTAGCATCCCCAAATACCCCACCAGCATTCACTAGAAAAACTTACAACATGTTCTACACAAGTCTGAATTCATTAAAATGAGCAGGAAGGCACCAGGAGTCAAAGCCAAATTGTATTTTGAAAGATAGTATCTCAACTCAGGATGTCTATGAACTCTTAGCTGAACAAGTTCTGCTCAGGAATGGGAAGTAGCAGAAGAAAAGGGTTTGGGTTCTCCCTCTAGCCATTAGGGATCTGGTAGGGAGAGCAATTGGGGGTTCAAGGCCAGGAAATCCTTGAAGAGCTGTCATGGCTGAGTTACATAGTTATACTAAGTGTATCTTGTTGGGCTGGTTTTCCTGGTCCCTCTGATATAGCTGGGACATGAATGAGATAATTTTGCAAAATCAAATTTTAATGAATGGTGATAGTAATGATAATAGCTCATATTAACTGAATGTTTGCAGTATAGAAGGCTTCCTACTGTTTCACAAGAACAATGTCATTCAATTTTTTTCATTAAAGCTGTTAAGATAGGTAAGTAGCCCCATTTTTCAGATGGGAAAATCTGAATTTCTAAAATGTCAAGTGATTTGCCCAGGGTTATCCAGCCAGCAAACAGGTGGCAGAGTGAGGAGCAGAACTGATATCCATCCAGAAGTTTCTACTGGAACTCCAAACTGAGCCCAAAGAAAAGCCCATGTGCGCATGGTAGAAGAGGAGACGAGAGGGAAGAAGGGGGAGAAAAGGAGGGAAGCGAGGAACTCCAGTTATCTTGGAGTAGGGGCTCAAAGGGGGCTGTGATGGGAATGGGGCATGGGAAGGAGGCTGAAGGAAGATGGAACAACAGGAAGAAAAGAAAGCTTTGCTTTGGTAGGTGTTTTCACCCTCCTTGTCCTCAAGCAGCCCTGATCGTCCTTGTCATCCTCACACAGACTTTGCGCCGCTCTCAAGCATTTTCCCTTTCATCTAGCAGCTCGGGGGAAAGGACCTCATTTGATCTGGCAAGTAGAGAAAGCAATTCATCAAATACTTGTCAAAAGATTTTTCAAAAGTTCTAAGAGAAGTCCCGAGCTCAAGCCAAACGCACGATAATTGGCTACGGCTTCATGCCCTGCGGTCTCTCCCTAAGAAAAATTCAGAGCTAGTCACAATTCTCTCCCAGCTTTTAAGCGGCTAGAGCTCAATCAAGAAGTGGCTCTGTAAATTCCAGTATCAGGGGATGCAAAGTGAAGAATCTGCACTCTGGAGCTCAGATTCGCTTTGCCTGGCCTCCAGGAAGTCGAGGACTTCTTGCATTGAGTATCAAGCACAAGACATTTCAAAAGATGCTGGGGTCTCTCTAAATTCAGCTACCACTAGAAAAAAGAGAAGGACAATGTGTGGAAAGGACTACTAAGAAATCAAATTTTTAAAAGAACAAATCATGTGATTATTGAAAACAACCTGTGGGCAAAAAGCAATTCTTTTTTAGTTGACACAAGCATGCCAGGTCACTTTGGGGATGGAAACTGGCAGCATTAGTATTATTATTATTTTGGTTTGGTTTTTTGAGACAGGGTTTCTCTGTGGTTTTGGAGCCTGTCCTGGAACTAGCTCTTGTGACCAGGCTGGTCTCGAACTCACAGAAATCCGCCTGCCTCTGCCTCCCAAGTGCTGGGATTAAAGGCGTGCGCCACCACCGCCCGGCCAGCATTAGTATTATTATTTGCTGCTGATGGTGATGCTTGCATGGGATAAGAGTGAGAGGGCTTTATATTTTTCAAGTGTTTTCATATGCCTTGTCGCCATGAGTACTGTCATTCTACTGTATTTGAAAGAGAGGGAGGCATGGAGCGATACCAATATTGTCTAACCATAACCAATATTAAACAAAATTGTTTAATGCTGAATACAGGGTACCACTGAAGGACTCTCCCTGTGGGTGTGCTCTTTGATAAGGAAAAGTTCACAGTCTCAGGTAAAGAAATTGAGTACCAACAAAGAGTCAGTGAGCTAAGCAGAAGCTTAGCTGGCTAAGATGTAGTTCCTCCAAGCTTACTTTCCTCTCCCTCCACTTCTGCTTCTAGGCCATGTTCCCTTATCTTTCTAATGAACAAGGCTCCCTTTTCCTCCAAAGCCTAACCCAGGAGCCGCTGACTATCCCCGCCCCCACCGGTGCTTGTCTCTTCTCTATTTGGGGTCATGAATCATTTTGAGAACCTGGTAACTGGAGATCTTTTTCTTCAAGAGATGTATAAAGGTACAAATGGTATGTGCGTTTGCATACACATGTGCCCAGATGTACACACCTCTCTGTAATACAATTTTAGCTCTTGGGATAATTTTCAAAAATAATTACTATTCAAAGTCAAATGAAGAAAATCTAGCGATAGGCATTTTGCCTGTGGAATCATCATCCTTCCCCATAGGTGCTCATCCACCCTATTCTGGCAACTTCTCCCAAACCCCTTACTCACCCCTTCCATTCTTTATCTTCTAACCTCATGCTGCCCTCGATTACACAGGGTTCAATGCTACCATGATCCTTCTCCACTGATCTGTGGAATCTCTAATTGTCAGGACTCAATCTGGAACAATGAGTGAATTCCCTTCACAGGCAGATCCCAGTCATTAAATTAAGCAGAGTCATAGGGGTTGGCATGTGAACTAGATTCTTCTGGAAATAATGGGGAGACTTTTGGAAGATATCTTTTAAAAAGATACTGCTTACTTCACAGACGAGGAAGCCTGTGGCTATTCTGGAATACATGATATATATGGTGTTGACTATTCAAAATTGAGATAACAGACAAACATAAACAAGGGAACACAAAGACCACGTCATTCAGATAGACTGTCTTCCCTAAACAGCTATCTAAAAACTCTGTGTCTCAAGTTCTGTCATTGTTCTCACTAGTTCCTTCATATTTCACTGTTCCTTCATATGCTCATCCCAACACTTTTCAAAAAGAACTACTTAGTGGGAATAATTTAGAGAATCCTTACAGAAATTGGCTCCATGTCCTTATTGTGGAAGAAAGACCATTGGATTGTGAGCTTGTCCAGCGATGTCACAGTGGTGGTATAGAGGCAGAGCAGAGTGACATTAGATCCAACAGTCACATTCAAGAAACTGTCTGGGATGGTCACTTGCACCATACTAACGTGACCTGAAAAGACAAGCATCAGATAATTAGTAGTACATATGTTCTAATGGCATTTTCATCACACAATACAAAACATCTTGTCTAGTGACCCTAAGACAGGGAAGAGAGCAGAATGAAACATACAGGAGACCTGAGGCAGACAATAAACACAGGGAAGACTTTCTAACAAGTTATGACATGAAGATGATCAAAACCTAGGTGACAGTGAGGTAGTGACACTGGACTAGCAATTCATATATGGGTCAGGTTATACACAGCTCCTTACAGTCTTGCCCAAGGACACTAAAGGGCTTGAGGATGGAGAACAACCAACTCAGATTTCCCATGATACAGTGGTCCTTGAATACAGATTTCCCATGATACAGTCATCCTTGAATACAGAGCATTTATTTTAAAAAACTTAGGTAAGTCAGAAGCTAAGGCTTTGCTAGGGCTTTCAAATCCCAAACTACAAAAATTCCAGATGAGTTCTATACCCAAGACCACTGTATGTGGTGGGGGTGAGGGGCTTACTGGGAGATCTGTTATATCCAAAGGTTGTACTAAGATGTCAGTTTTCTTTTACACTTTCATCCTTTTATGAGTGGAGTGAACCAAAATCTAAATAACAGGTAATAATGTCACTGATCTGGTGACTAAAGGAATATGTGTTGTATATTTTCCTAATTTTTTTGTTTTAATTTTTAACAGAGTAAATGTAGACAGAAATATTGCACATAAATAAACCACTTTGAGGAACATCAGTAACTTTTTATGGAGTTGAAGATGAAAAACAGAGACTTGGGCATGCTAAGTAGGCATACTAAGTAGCTACAACCTCATTCTCTTCATTACTGGTTTGTGTTTAGTTGCATTATATTGAAATGCCATGCTGTGCACAATTTCCATTATTTTAAATTCAGGCTTTCAGGGCCCAGTATGTGGTTTCTCTTAGTCCATGTTCTGTAGGTGCTTGGGGGAAAACGTCCATTATGCTATTGTTTGGTTGTGCGCTCTATACAAGAAGATATAATTTAAAGTACTGTAATACACATAACATGCACAAGACTCTGAGTTCAATTCCCAGCACTGCAAAATGAAAGATTAAATAAACCACTATGAATATGTGAATGGATGCCAATTTGTTGTAGTAAGGCCACTTGTTCATTTCCTGGCTGCCCAGACTCCCGAAATAACCACACAGAAACTGTATTAATTAAATCACTGCTTGGCCCATTAGATCTAACTCCTTATTGGCTGACTCTTACATATTAATTTAATCCATTTTTATTAATCCATGTATCACCACGTGGCAGTGGCTTACCAGCAAAGTTTTGGCATATCTGTTTCTGGCAGTGGCTCCATGGCTTTTCTCCTACTCCATCTCTTTTCTCCCAGCATTCAGCTTAGTTTTCCCCGCCTATATAAGTTCTACCTTACTATAGGCCAAGCCAGTTTCTTTATTCATTAATCAATAAAAGCAACACATAGACAGAAGGACCTCCTACACCACATAGCAATCTACTGGTGTCAATATTTTACTAGTTGGAGTGATATGTGTAAATTTCACTTACATTTAGGGCCACTTACCTTCTCAATATTTACATGTCATTGTCTCAAGTCCAAGATAATGGTATAAGAGAGTGCTGTAGTTTTTGTTTCCATTATCACATATGACACACAGCATTTATGAGTTAAAGCAGACACACACATACACATATTCATATTTCTGCCCTTTCTTTTGTTCCTTTTGTCTCCATAATGCTTTAAGATCTTTCTTTTTATCATCTTCTGTATTTCAGAAGTAATTCCTTGAGCCATTCTTCAAGGGTATGCCTGCTAGATGAAGATATTTTCCCCCTTTGGCTGAGAATCTCATTATTATTTTCCCTTAATTCTTGAACAATAGTTTCACCAGATACAGATTCTATTTCCTGTCATCTCTGCTGTACCTCTGAGTCTATCAGCATGTTTCTTATTTTTATTATTGTATTTTTTTAGTTCTATAATTTCCATTTGAGTTTCTTGGGAAGACAAATAATCTAATTTTACTTAAAAATAATTCAAAGTGGAGGAAAGGAAATTGAGGATGAAGTTATACATTAAAAAAGTCTTCAGGACTGAAAATATGGATCAGGGTACTTGGCTAGCATGTGTAAAGCCCTGATTTTGATCACCAGCAATGCAGAAAAAAGTCTTCAGAGAAATAGATGACTACAATGCCTGACTCTTATTTGACTTCTTGTTTCTCCATTTAAAATTAACTGAAAAATACTTGTACATATGGGATGCATGTGTTACAGTATCATTGATGTTCTGATATATTACAGACACCTCCCATCTAACTGGAACCTGTTGAACATCAATTTTGTGCTAAATACTGGGGAGACAATGTTGAATGAGAGTCCCAATCTCTGACTGCCATGTCAAAGCAACAGAAAGCCATTTCTAGCCCATCAGTGTGGTAGTGAATGAAATTCAATGATATAAGCAATAAAATCTGATTCAAACATTTCCTATTTTTCATAAAAGACACATATGCCTGTAATAATTTGAGATTGTATAAGCTCAGAAATTACATATTGGAATTCAGACAGTATTTTCAAACTTTACATGAGACATTTTTAAGAACACTATACATTGTCTCATGGTAACAATTGGTAAAGCAAAATCACCAGACCATTTTATTGCTCATATTGCTCATATTCAGCAACATAAACAATTCTTAAATTCTGAGGAACAGATAGTTTTCAGGCATTGGCCAACCTTCATAAAGTGACAATAAACAACAGAGCTTAGAGCTCTGTTTTTAATTTTTCATTTTTCAAATAAACTTCTTTAGAAAAACCTCAGCCCATGCCAGGCCTCGTGTCTTTCTTTCTGCCTGCTGCCTGAGAATCAAGACATAAAGCTGTCAGCTACTGCTCCAGTGCTGTGATTGACTGTTTCTTGCCGTAATGATAATAGACTAAATGTCTCAGCACTGACTACCTGGAGCTCATTCAGTTTGGCTTGTATCTCTTTGACATGCATCAATCTAAACTTTATCACGGAACATCATTTACACACTGGTTGTGAGAGTTAACAGTTTGAATATATCATATGTTTGGTTGTTTAAGGACATCATACTCCAGAAGTCCCTGTAATAAAGTGAACCACAGGCAGGTGTATGATTTCTCTGCTCTACAGAAATCAATGAAACAATCAGGATATCTGAATTCAATACAGAAAATGATTTAGTAGAAGAGGATTTGACAAATTGCCAAAACACTGGGTTTGTAAGAAAGTAAATGAGAAAAGAAAACATAATAATGAAGATACCTTGGTTTTCCCTAGAAGTGAAGCCAGATGGTGGTGGTGCACACCCCTAATCTTAGTAGGTAGTGGCAGTCACATCTCAGAGTTTGAGGCCAGCCTGGTCTATACAGGGAGTTCCAGGACAGGCAGGACTACACAGAGAAACCTTTTCTCAAAAAACAACAAAAACAAACAAACAAACAAAAAAGTGAAAAAATAAATTATATTTATTTTTTAAAATTTGGTCCTGCCTCAAGTTAGTATACCAGACCTTGTTGATTCCCCAAGGAAGACCTTACCCCTTCTGAGGAGTGAATGCAGGATGGGAAAGGGGAAGTAGGGGTGGGAGAAGGGGAGGGAGGGGAACTGAGGTTGGTATGTAAAATGGAAAAGCAATTTAATAAAAAAAAATATGAAAAAAGGATAAAAAACAGAGTATTTTGGCTATCAAGGTACTAACAACAGCATCAGGCAGAAAACGCGCCTTTAATTGCTTCACATTGGAAGATTATGCTCTGGTGGGAAATTAAAGGAGTTATGATTGGGAAAGAAGTCATGGGAAGAATCTGCTCAGACCAATGAGCACTAAAAAAGTGTATATATCACCACAGAAGCAAGGGTTTCAAATTCCAAGTGTAAATCAAGAACTAGTAAATAGTCTTGTTTGTACAACCTGACTCTTAAAGGGTGAGAAGAAACATGTACAGAAAAGGTATAAGGTCCCAGGAGACCAGAGAGAGACAAGTCAATCCCTCAATGATCTCAGCACAAGCATTGCTTTTCAGCGACAGTAATATAAATGGAGAAGATGATTCAGGAATATTCCAAAGAAATCTGATGACAGAAAAATAAAACACTGAGAAACAAGAGTCTAAAAACCAAGTACATATACTGACACTTCTGATGAGCCTTCAAAAATGGATTTTTCTTATATTTTAATATAAGACAATATGAACCATCAGAAATGATGGATCAGTGGTTTAGAGCATTTTTTACTCTTCAAGAAGACACCGGTATCCTTGTCAGCACCTACATGCTGACTCACAACTATCCCTATCACATTCCAGATTGGACGCCCTCTTCGAAACTCCGTAGGCACCAGGAACATACATGGTACACATACATTCATGTAGGTAAAACATTTATGCACATAAAATAGTTGTAAAAACTTTAAAAAATATTTCCTTCATGACACAACTGTTCAATTCATCTGTTTAAGGAAATCCAATATTTCAGTGCTTTGTGACACAAACATCAATATTTTTCTATTTTGAAACACATCATACTAATCTATAGAATATGACACATCATTTAGAAGAACTATGCACATGTCACACATTCTTTAACATCAATAGTATATTTAAAAGCATATAGTTAATTATGACAAGAATGTTCAGTATAATGGCAATAGGTAAATAGAGCAGAGATTCAAACAACTGCAATCATAATAACGGAGTCCCTGAAATACAACTGCCCAATCATTTTGATATTCCAGGATAAGAGACAAATATATATCAAAATGATATAGTGTTTCTTATCCCAGAATATAAAAATGATTTCCATTATCATCAATTCTGCTCTACACAGGAAAAATATCATTGTGGGTTCAAGGGTTTTCTAGTTTTAGTTATAATCTAAGTATTATTTATTAACTCGCGTACTTTAATTTCTCAATTTTCGGCATTTGGCCATTCTTTCAGTTGGCTCTTATGTCCCTTTGAAGAGCC